AACTGACGACATCTCATCCCTCAGACTAACCAATCCATGGCCTATAATTAAGTCATTCTTTGGAGCTCTGTACTTTCTACGTTCTGCCAGACAATACAAACGCGTTACAAAGGCGTTGATTGATTTACCCGCATGCTGATATAACTACTTAAATCTCACCCGCTCCATCATTAAATCTCTTGTAAGGCTAAAGTAGGTGTTGAATCTCTTAATGAATTATGTGACTCCATATTAGTTTCTTTCACAATTTCCCTTAGCAGGGCATCATGCAACTTACAGCATGTTAAACATACTGACTTAAAGGCATTGCATCCTTGCTTATAATACTTAATGTGGTTATCAAACTGAAGCTACTGCCTTCCAGAGTTCCCACTTCTTGGACCTCCTTGTAGGGTCTGCCATAGTATTAAATATTTGAGGCAGCTATGACTGGTATAATCGCCACCTTTAGGTGGTGTAAAGAGTGCACTTTGCAAAGATGTCAAGGGAATATCCATTAGATACCATAACTATGACACAAGAAGTGAGAACTGAACAATATTCAAATTTTTTTCTGAAGAAGGGTCCCGACCCAAAACATCAGCTTTCCTGCTCCTCTGATGCTGGCTGCCCTACGATGTTCCTCCAGCTCCACACTGTGTTATCTCTGACTCCAGCATCGACAGTCCTTACTATCTCTGAATCTTCAAATTAAATTCAGCATCGGCAGATCTTACCTGTTGTATTAATTTGAAATTATTTCTGCTGAGAATGAGCCCAGTTATGGGGCAGAGGTTTGTTTTATTGTGCGTTCAGCTCTGTTCAGAGAGACATATTGGCTTTTGGCTTCAGATTTTTACACTTGCAATGTTTTATTTCTCGGCTGCTGGGTTCTGCACTAATTGCTTCCTCTTCCTTGTTTTATTTCCATCTTTACCACTTGCCCTGGGTATCCTGCTGAGTGATATCGAAGGAGAAGGAATTGCCCGATACCTTTGTCTGCACCAGGGAGCGTTTCTCCCCCTTTCTGGAGATTTTCCACATTGACCCGGCTACCAGACAAAGCTTCCTTTCACAAGGCCAGGCAATCCTTTTGCGATGGTTGCAACCATTCAATACCTTATTCCTGATTCACCAATGCCATCTGTGCTTCCATTGGTGGTGGCCATCTCTGTTTTATCATCTATACATGGGCAGGGGGTCATCTGATCATGTGCAAGCCATAACGGCCATTTTTGACAGCCATCTTGGTGTCTATGGCACACACTCTGACTGAAAACAATGGTAATATCTCCAGTGGAATGGCCACCTCCAATGGGTAATAGTACTTGACTGATCCAGGTGAGTAGTGCAGAGTTTTTATACCCTCCAGGGGGCTGCCAATTCATAGTTAGGCTTCAAAGTCTCTTAAAGTTCAGTCTCCTGCAATTTGGCATTGCATTTTTGCATATCATACTTAAACTGTGAAGCTACTGCCTTCCAGAGCTCCCTCCTCTGATCTCATTGGTCCCACATTATCAAATATTTGAGGCAGCTTCCCACACTGTAGCCCTGCAAACAAGTTTTCCAAGGTATTTTGCATGCCTTTGGAGCCTTCTGGTTTTCCAGTAGCTTTTGTCTCAAAGTCTTCCAAAGTATTTTCCCTGTCATAGAGTTACAGAGCCATACAGCACGGAAACAGACCCTTCTGTTCAACCAGTCCATGCCGAGCATAATTCAAAGCAAACTGGTCCCACCTGCCTATTCTTGGCCCATATCCCTCCAAACATTTCCTATTCATGTACTTATTCAAATGTCTTCTAAATGTTCTAACTGTGTCCCCATCCACTACTTTCTCTGGAAGTTCTTTCCACACACTAACCATGCCCAGTGTAAAAAAAATTGCCCGCTTGTCTTTATTAAATCTTTCATCTCTCGCTCTAAAAATGTGACTCCTAGTCTTGAAATCCCCCACCGCAGGGAAGAGACATCTACCATTAACTCTATCTATACCAATCATCCTTGTTTTTTTTAATTCATCTGCACCTTCAAATTCTTCTGAGGTCCTGTCCTATCTTCAGAGTATCCTTTCTTCAGCTGTGTCCCTTGGGCTCTGTATTAACTTCAGGAGGCTTTTGCCTGTAGCTGCCACATGCTTAACCATGTGTTTTATGCCAACACTGCTCCCTGCACATTGAGATATCAGTCTGCAGTATCTCAGGCTGTGGGTGTCTGCACATACCCTATCCCCGAGGCTGCTTGCTCCTTATCTTTCAGCAAAGCTCTTCAACTCCTTCTGGACTGTAACACTTCTTCATTTCCATCTGTACATAGATGACTAAATACAACTCTCTAGCGTGGTCAATTTTCATATACCCATCCTGGACTGGTCTCTTCCCGCTTATTGATATCAGAATTGTGCCATCACTCATGGTGAGTAGCCAGATTTTCTCAGAGTAGGGGAGACCAAAACTAGAGGGGATAGGTTTAAGGTGAGAGGGGAAAGATATAAAAGGGGCCCAAGGGGCAACTTTTTCATGCAGAGGGTGGTATGAGTTGGAATCAGCTGCCAGAGGAAGTGGTGGAGGCTGGTACAATTACAACATGTAAAAGACAGCTGGATGGGTACATGAATAGGAAGCGTTTGGAGGGATATGGACCAAACGATGGCAAATTGCAGTAGATTAATTTAGGGTAGCTGGTCAGCATGGACGAGTTGGACCAAAGGGTCTGTTTCCGTGCTACAACTCTATGACTCATATCATCTTGAGAAAGGATGTATTGGCACTGGAGGGGGTGCAAAGGAGGTTCACTAGGTTGATTCCGGAGTTGAGGGGATTGGCTTATGAGGAGAGACTGAGTAGATTGGGATTATATTCATTGGAATTCAGAAGATTGAGGGGGGATCTTATAGAAACATATAAAATTATGAAGGGAATAGATAAGATAGAAGTAGAGAGGATGTTTCCACTGGCAGGTGAAGCTAGGACAAGAGGGCATAGCCTCAAGATTAGAGGGAGCAGATTTAGGACTGAATTGAGAAGGAATTTCTTCACCCAGAGGGTTGTTAATCTATGGAATTCCTTGCCCAGTGAAGTAGTTGACGCTACTTCAGTAAACGTTTTTAAAAAAAAGGTAGATATCTTTTTGAACAATAAAGGAATTAAGGGATACGTTGAGAACGCGGGTAAGTGGATCTGAGTCCACGAAAAGATCAGCCATGATCTTATTGAATGGCGGAGCAGGCTCAAAGGCCCAGACGGCCTACTCCTGCTCCTAGCTCTTATGTTCTTATCAGGATTCATATAAATCCCATAATATCACAGAACTGCTTACCTTGGAGGGTCAGGACAACACCATAGCGACTGGGCTACAGGCCTTGTGGAAAGTTATAGCAACGGTACTCTTAATTAAATCTGGGGTCTCCTCCGAATGCAAGGATGCCTTAGCACTGTTTTGAACAAGACTGTCTCCATGGATGGTGCCTGACCTGTTGTGATCTCCGGCATTTTTTGCTTTCAAGACACCAGTTGAGATTGTTACTGACTGGGTACACATTGGTAAAGGAGCCTTTTTTACCCCCCTGCTATAGTCACTGACTGCCACCTGGTGACATGTAGCTACATAGCAGCATATTCGAGGTGGAGGAGTAGAAATGTCAGAGCCATCTGTGCAAGTCACTCGAAAAGAAATATCTGATCATGTTTAAGATAGCATCTTAAAATAAGCAAATGAGGAAATCTGAGAGGAGCTTCCTGTGGAACAATTCAATGTGACCAAATCAGACAACACTGCATGCAAATTTTTGCTGATGTGATTAGAATCTAAAGGAAATATGTGCCAATTTTTACCAGAGTCAGGGATACACAAGTGTCAACCCCAATTGTCCTGACCTACACTCCCATGTATCAAGCCTTAGAGAATGTTCTGGCTGAAGGATTAGCTTAGTCAACCCTGCAGGATCATTCTGCCAACTCCAAAAATTGATGATAACATCCTGAACACTCCGTCCAGCAAACCAGGAGATAAGTTATAGGGCATTAAAATAAAATATGTTATTTCTCCTTTCTGTTTGAATATTTTCATTTGTCAAACATTGATAATGAGGGGGAGGGGTACAATTTGCTTGACAGATTGGGAGACAGGGAGCCGTCTTGATCCAAATTTACAAAGAGCTAGAAGAGTTGGCAACACTAAGTTGCCTATTTATGCTGTACTCATAGTTAGTTGACAGATCATTTATTAACTAATTTTTTTTAAAATTCAACACTGGATTTATACATTTTTCAAGGTGATCTACATAAAGAATGTGAATGGGTTTGGGAAGTTTAGATTCCATATGAAGATTTTGAATGTATTGGGGAAGTCTAGGTGCAAAGAATGAATTGTTTTGGAGATACTATATAGATGGCATACATATAAACCTACAAATATATGAATTAGGAGTAGTCTTCTTAACATCCAAACTCTTCCACCATTCATTATGTGGAGGTGCCAGTGTTGGACTAGGGTGAGCAAAGTCAGAAATTACACAACTCCAGGTTATAGTCCAACAGGTTTATTTGAAATCACAAGCTTTCAGAGCGCTGCTCCTACATCAGGAGAACTGACAAATTTTCACCTGATGAAGGAGCAGCGCTCCAAAAGCTTATGATTTCAAACAAACCTGTTGGACTATGACCTGGTGTCACGTGACTTCTGACTTTGGTCATTCAATAAGATTATGGCTGACTTGATTTCTGTACATTGCCTACCGCCAATAACCACGTACTCTCTGTGCATGTGTGGATTCTATATTTGAGCACTTGATATGGTAAGTATGAAATGGCTTGGAGATTTTATATGGAGTATATATAAACAGGTTTGGGATTTCTGTATGGAGAATGTAAACATATTTGAGGGTTCTGTATGGAGAGTATGAATGAGTTTTGAGTATTATATACAGAAAGTAAATAGGCTTGGGTTTGTGGTTTCTATATAAACAACATGAATATGTTTGGAACGTTTGATTCTATTTTAGCAAATACAATTGTCCACCTTACCTGCCAGGCTATTAGATTCTTTAGATGATTCAATTTTTCACAATCTTCTGGATGCTCTTCTGAATAAGCCTCTGTGAAGAAAGCCTGAAAAAGTGGAAGGTTTAAACACAGAGTCAAAATCAAGCATCTTCTATTTATATAATCACCAGTGCTCCCAGATTAACAGCAAGTGATAAAGTATTTACTTTCTCCTGTCTTGTTCAGGCACAGAGTTTTAACAGTCAATTTGCAGTTCAACATTTTTTATTGCAGGAAAAAAATGCATATTTTGTCTGATTTTGTCACTTTGCACTCACCAGGACACTGACAACAAGTACCAAAGAAGGACCAACATTTTCTATTGTATGAAAAAACAGTGCTGATTAACGGCACGATGGCTCAGTGCTGAGCATTGCTGCCTCATAGCGCCAGGGACCCAGGTTTGATTCCAGCCTCGGGTGACTGTCTGTGTAGAGTTTGTACGTTCTCCCCCTCTCTGGGTGGGTTTCCTCTAGTTTCCTCCCACAGTCCAAAGATGTGCAGGTTGGGAGGATTGGCCATGCTAAATTGCCCCACAGGGTTCAGGGATGTGAAGGCTAGGTGGGTTAGTCAGGGTAAATATGGAGTTACAGGGATTGGCTGGGGTACGGGGTCTGGGTGGTTCTCTTCAGAGGATTGCTGTAGACTCAATGTGCTGATTGGCCTCTTCCTGCACTGTAGGGATTCTATGATTCTAAGTCGCCTCAGACTAGCTGAGGCATTTCCATGGCTGAATCACTGATGACTGACAATTAACAACAAAGCTTTGTTACAGTTTAAACCAGGCAGGTTGTCTATTATTGGTCTGGTGAAAGCTTCAACAAAATACCTTTTTTTTCATGACCAAACAACAACTTGTCTTTCAAGAGAAGAAAATTAAGTCTTTATCACAGGGACTGAGAGAGAAAGAAGTCCTCAAATGAAAATGTAAAATTCAATCTCAAACTGCATAATAGTGTAATTTTCACTAAATTCAACTGAATGCCCAAAGATCAAAAAGAAAGTTAACATGTTCTAGCCATTGCAGGGTCCAACAATGGAATGCTAAGTAACAATGAATTGGGATATTTTTTACCCTTCTTATTCTAAAACACTCTTGTTTCCGAAGCACTCGTATCAGTTTTTCAAACTTTGAGATACTTATGGATATACCTTTCATTATTTGTGAATTACTGTTTGCTATTACTAAAACTTAAATTACTTTGTGCTTACAAAGTAATTACCTGTTTCTCATACCCTAACCCTATAATCATAAGGTTTTATAATCAACCTCCAAGCAAATCTAATCTAAATGTTGTCAGTTTAATTTGTGCCTTTATAGGGCTGTTGCTTTTTGAAGAGAGTGTTAATTTGGTATTTAAAATACTATAATCAGGGGCTGATGCTGTTCACTTAGTTTTTGTCAACGTTTTGTTCTGATTTTCTAGGTTAGATATGTAGAGGTGACTGTTTTGTTTTCATTAGCTAGGTGCCTCAGATGCAGAATACCAGTTGTAGTATTTCTTTAATCCTACCTTCTCAGCTGACTGCCTAAACAATCTATATCAGATTTTTAAGTGTTTCCATGATAGTATCTGCTCCCTGAACATTAGTGGGACATTTGACACACTCTGTTAACTTCTTACATGACCATTTATCTCTCTCTCTCTAATAAGATATGAAAGAAACCACTGCTCTCATATGCCACTTTCTGTGTATATCTGCCTAGAGTATTGCAAAACCTATGAAGACCACAATCATTTCATCCTAGACTGTTAACTTTATGCCTGTGTGCACTTTCAGATTCATTAAACAACGTTCTCGAAATGTTGACTATTTCTTCAACAAGCAATATTATTTCCACTCAAATAAGTACTTATAGCGTACCATAAAGAAACACAAGTTAAAATAGATAAGAAAAACCTTGAGATAAGATGTAGATATTTTTAATCACTCATTCAGTACTGATATTTAATGTCGCACTGAATTGGAACAAATGTGTGTGTTTACACGGGCAGGGAACTGAACAATGCATAAAACATAAGTGAATATATACAGTACTGTGGTATAATCCCACACTGATACAGTTGAGATATGGGGTGTGCGAGGTTAACTTGAGTGCAGGAATCTGAAATACCCTTTACTGTGTCCTCAGCCTTTTTCACTTCTAACCAGTCAACCTGCTTATCTGGACTGGACTGTGCTTTTGACTTAGTTGTCAAAGGCATGACCAGGAAATCATTGTGCCCTTTACCTTCTCATATTTGGCAAATCCACCCATAACCGCTGGATCCACAATACCGTTGAGCAACATTGAGAGAGGATTGATTGGAAGATGGTCATCAGCCTTGTACTGGGTGATCAAGGTGAGGATTTTTTCATTGGTTTTCTGCATTGTCTCAATCGCGTTTTCCAGTGGGCTGATGGTGTTCTGCAGTCACAAGAATAAACAATTGATGAGGGTTTGTTCTTTATGCTAGTGAACATAGGATGGAAGTGGAGAGTCAATGGTATTAAGCAACATGGAGATCGGAGGTACGTAGCTAAGGCAAAGCATCGGCTATGAGCATGATGAATGGTGGAGCAATATTGAGGGGCCTTATGCCTAATCTTGCTGTAATGTCATGATCTTATGAATCACAAGAAGAAATTATTTTATACCCTTTAGTTTTCAAAGGGACTATCATATTTGTCGATCTGCCCCCTGCACTAATACACTATGGAGTTCAGCTATTGAGATCAAGGACTAAATTTGAACAGTTTGGGTGGGTTCGTCATGCTAAATTGTCCCATAATGCCTAGTTATATACAGGCCAGGTGGATTAGCCATTGGAAATGCGGGCGTAGTGATTGTAACAAGGTCAGCCAGGTGGATCTCATTGAGTATGAGTTCTCTGATTAACCTGGTCTAATCAGGAGTCCTGGCTGACAGATATAAACAGGAGGGTCAGGGGTTCTGTTCACTCTAGGACTCACTCTGTGCTAGGTGGGTCAGAGTCATGTACTGTGCATGTGCATGTGCATGTGCATGTGCATGTGCATGTGCATGTAAAGGATGACTTGGTGACAGGATACCGGACTTCACGGAGTTATTTCAATGAGATTTTTGGGATAAGGTTGGGTGGTTGGCTGGGTCTGGGTAGGACGCTGTTTGGAGGGTCAATGCAGGACTTGATGGGCCGAAACACCTCTTTCCACACTATAGAGATTCCATGATTCAATGATAAGTTGAATATTATTGCCTGAATGCGAGCGTGACTCAATACTGCCACCTACTGATGGGGTTGGCTGAGTGTCACAGAACATACAGACCTGCAGAACATAGCGAGGCAATTGATAAGCGGTCAAACACTACTTGCCCCCACCAATCTGTCACAAACGCCTCTGTCCATGATTGGACAGGTAGGAGCGGCCACAACACAATGATTGGAAAGTTTTGATGTTTCTGTCTGCGCTCTGAGTTGATTGTGTTATCTGGCACGAGCACCGTGTTAAATGGGATAGATTCAGAATAGATCTAGTGACCAAAAACTGAGCATTCAGCTGTAGCAGAACTGTACTAAATTACAGTCTGTAACCTTGTGTGCAGGCTTACCTCCTCCCTCCCTTAAATCAGACAATCAAATCTCCATCAATACGCCTGCTTTGCTGTTGAATGGCTGATCTGTTTATGTTTTGAATTCCACACTCAATATCTACTCCTCTGCTTAACAGGTATCTACCTACCTCTGCCTCTAAAATCAATGACCCCAGCCCCACTGACTTCTGAGGCAGAAAGTCCTAAAGTCACACAGCCATTGAATCTGTCCTGGAAGGGTGACCCCTAATTTTAAAACTGCCTCCTGGTTCAGGCCACCCAGAGCAGGAAACATCCATTCTGCCTCCACCTTGTCAAGATCATTCAGGAGCTGGCTCAGTCCCAAGTCCTGTAAGTTCTTAAAATTCAACATCCAACTTTCTTTTGAAGGTATTGGGGATGGAATCAATTTCCATCGGCTACAGAGTAAGATTCTGAGTAAAAAGAATTATCTGCATTATTCCTCTTGATTTATTTGTCATTAATTTAAAATCTATATCCTTTGGTTATTAACCCACTCACCATGGGGAATAGATTTTCTCTATCTACTCTATACCTCATAATTTTGAATATCTCTTTGTCACCTATTAACATTCTTTGCTCCATGGTGTGCAAATTTAATTCATGAGCTAGTCTAACCACTGGAGCCCCTTATCTCAGGTGACACCCTGGAAAAGTTTCTCTGTGCTTTTTCTCAGGCTATTACATCTTTCCTGAAGAGTGGTGCTCAGAATTGTTTACTATACTCAAGCTGAGGTCTAACCTTTGGTTTATGAAATTATATCATGATCTTTTTTATTCTATGCATCAATTTACAAACTCAAGTAAACCAGTCATAGAGTCATACAGCAAGGAAACAGACCCTTCTGTCCAAATAGTCCATGCCGACCATAATCCCAAACTAAACCAGTCCCACCTGCTGTTGGACCCACCTCGCCAACTTGCCCTGCAAAATTGAAGGACATTTTATGTATACAATATGTATATATGGTCCCCGAGGGTCTCACTGCTCAACTGCACTTTTCAAAGTTCTGCTATTTACCGTATACTTTTTTTCACGTTTGCCCTCCCAACCCGTATCACTCCTCATTTCCCCACATTGAACTCTCCCTGCTATGCTTCTGCCCCTCCCATTTACATCATTGTGAAATTCAGAACCCTCCACATCACAAGATACTGCATTGTCCAGTTTTGCAATATCTACAAACTTTATAATGCTGCTCGTCACACGGGAGTCCAGATTCCTTTTAATGAAGGCAAAGAGTAATGGACCCAAAACTGACCATTGGAAAGCACCTACAAGATTGAAAACCACCCACAGCCTTGCCACTGGATCCAAAACAAAATGGTCCCCTTAATGCAATTCAATTCCAAGTTAATGAATCACAAAAATAGTATTCCCACACTGATACAGAGCTGCTCTATAGTATTCTCAAACCAAAACAACATTGATGTGCATTGATTCATAAGAAACAGGAGAAAAAGTGGGCCCACAGTGTCTCCAGTCTACTCTAATATTCACTAAGATCACGGCTGATTTGCCTCAACTTCACTTTCCCATCCATTTCCCTTGTTTCCCAAAAATGTATCGACCTCAGCACTGAATATATTCAATGATTGAGCATCCACTTCTTCCAGGATGAAGAAATACCTCTTCACGTTAACCCTAAATAGCTGATGCCTTCGTTTAAGACACAATATTTGATTCTATCCTCTTCACATACACTGTACTGACCTTGTCAAGCCTACTAAGAATTTTGAATGAGATCAATTCTCACTTAAAGAAAGGTCCATTTCACTCAATCGAATCTCATAAAGCAGCCCTTTCATGCCTGAGGTCAATCTGGAGAACATTTGTTGCATTCCTTAAGGCACTGTGCCACTGATACTTGGGTGGTGGCATGGTGGTTCAGTGGCGAGCACTGTTGACTCTATAGCACCAGGGACCTGAGTTTGATTCCAGCCTTGGGAGGGTGTCTGTTTGGAGTTTCCATGTTCTCCCTGTGTCTGTGTGGGTTTTCTCCGGGTGATCTGGTTTCTTCCCACAATCCAAAGATGTGTAGGTTAGGTGCATTGGCCACGTGGCGTTACGGGTGGAGGGGTGGCTCTGGGTGGGATGTTCTCTGAAGGTTTGGTGCAGACTGAATGGCCCAAATGGCTTCTATCTGCACCGTAGGGATTCTATGGTTCTAACTATATTCTTGTTCTGGTGCAAATGCACAGTAATCAATGTGAGTTACATTATTCCAGTAAAATTTCCCTACTCTTACATAGCAATCTCCTTTCTAAGAAGGCAAACATCCCATTAACCTCATTAGTTTCTTGATATCCCTACATATTCTCACATTGATACAGTACTGTACATTTTCTCACAGTGTTAGAGTATTAATACGTGCCCTCTCACAGATGTGGTAACAATGCTTCAATTTAAAAAGTCTAGGGAGGCTGGTCATGTGCCATTTCTGCTCGATTTTGGGGTCGCCCTTTCCAGTTGAGTGTAGAACCTTCCATCATGGGGTTGCAAGGTTGAGCCCCAGGAGCATGCATTAATGCCGTTCTGAGGAATACTGTACTCACAGTGGAACTAGAAATGACTTCAAACCAACGCAGAATTCCAGGTAATTTGTATGCTGTGATAAACGTCGTTCTCTCGATCCACATTGACTGCAGGGCATAAAGAAATGTACTTAATAGCATTAATGAATGCTGTACTCTCAAATTACATTCATGATTTTTGTCTTGACATCATGTGCACAAATAGATTTTACCAGCAATGATCTAACAAAGGAAAACAAACAGAATTGTTCTACCAGAGGCCATGATATTAATGTCATTGGTGATACAATAGCGGAGGGACACAGTAAACTTAGGAGTAAGAGATAGTAGGAACTGCAGATGCTGGAGAATCTGAGATAACAAGGTGTAGAGCTGAATGAACACAGCAGGCCAAGT